TGGTTTCACTCTGGCAGGGTATGTTTTGATACGTTTGGAGGAGCTTACACCAGCTCGACATAAACATATTTCGCGGCAAGAAACATTTTGTTATTACAGACACAGAAACATGAAAATCGTCCAGTAAGAAAACTCCGCCTTGAACATGAAAGGATCGCGGAGTCTTCACACTGACAGTTCATGTCCTGTGTACTGGGTTATCAGGCAGATGTGCGCCGAAGGTTTCTGGTCGTTTTTCTTGCCTTGTCAGACGAACCTAATTTTCTTTGTTGCATATGTGCGCAATGTATGATAAAGTAAAAAAACAATATAAGGCAATTTAATAAGTTTGAAATTGTCTATACTGGTTGCCTATGTTGAGACAGCTAGCAGCGTAGAATTCGTTTCAAATAAGAAGGCACTCTACATCACTTGAAACGGCCAGTGGCTGAATTACATTCCAAGTCTAGGCTTTCAGCCTGTCAAAATTCGCAATTTAACATTGCCTTCAGTACTAGAGTGCTTCAGAATACTATGTGTGTGCGCGCTACGTTTCCGTTTTTCTTTCTTATATTGCGGTTTAAATTTGCCAATTAAATGATTAATCGTTATGCACATATGCAACTATTATCCGTGCAAATTGAGTCTGCTATGCGCTCCTTATTTCTGATCAGTGTTATACATCAATACGCTGCGGTTTATATGCGGTCACTAAGTTACAACGCATTACACTCTCCACGCCGCAGAGAAAATCTTCCAAACTCACCACTTCGTTTTTTGCATGGCGATGAAGTTAATAATAGTAAGCTGGTATTAAGAGTTATATGTGCGTAATCGATAAAAGAAACTGTTGAGAAGCATGATATGCGATCACTGAACGTGAAGGCTTTTTCGCTAGGCATTCCGGATTCATAATTGAAACCGTCATCAGAGATAAAAGAGACAAAATCGAAGTGTTATCCAAACAAAATTGCCTGCTCAGCAAATCAAGCCTCTCCGCGTTTGTACAGTCATCTTTTAGCACATTTCACGTTTAAGGAATATGAGATGTAACAAGAAAATGGTAACTATCGGCTGCTTAGCTTCTGGTATTTATTGCCTAAGAAACAAAAATGCATGTACGAGCAAAGAATTCAGCAAACGAAGATAATGCGACAACTGGAAGATAGTTTGGTTATTAGTCTGTCTCTTTGGGAACTTTGTTTCATGGACAGGTTAATAAACGTCATCTGGTCCTTCTGCAGGGATGCTTATATATTCAGAATAGAGTGTGGATGTACAGTGTCGAGTAAAGGGCCCACGAAATGCATTTATGTAGGAGGAAAATCGGTCCTTGCCCACCGTAGTTGCGGAGGTCGAAAGACGTTTTGTGTGTGTGCGCTAACAATAAAATTGCACAGCACCAATAACGCCACTTTTCCCGTTTCTGATAGATGTTTTGTCCCTATTTTTGGACAGACTGATATAGCCCTGCAAATAGCTAACGACCTGTAAGGATTAGTGCAATTACTGGAATAATCCACGCAGATAAGGCGACCATTGTTTACACTCCTGACTGCCATATTTCTCAGTCGTGGTCAAGGTTGTCGCATACTTTTGGATAGCTGTCAACTTCTGCAAATAGCCTGACGATTTTTCACAGCAGAAATATCCACGTGGATATGTTCCAAGTTGGAATCATATTCTGATGTTTACCGTATCAGATAAAAATGTCGCGCTTTTTTATTTCAGAGGAACCCAATTTAGCGGTTTGGTAACTGTGTCATCTCAGCATTTGATGCGGGACGTTTGCTTGTAAGGTAACTAAAGATTTGTACTCGAAATATAATAGGTAACCGCAACGTCTCTAGTAAGGTATTGAACAGTGGTCTCGAAACGTCGGACAAAAACCATATTTGTTCCGGCGAACAGAACTATTCTTCTCAAATATTTATATTTCCACATATCAAATTTGGAAATATGGGATATATTTATAGGTAGTAAAAATCAAGAAGCCAATATATTAAAAGTATAAAAAATGTTTGTTTACCGTTGTCCAAGTCCGTTAGGTCTGATGACAATTTTTAAGCAGAGTGGCATCGTTTAAGTGCTGTATTGCAGAAACATTAATAGAAGATTGCTGTACTTGTCTCCATTTACGAATAACTCTGCTTCACTTATATGGCGCTGGATACAATATTATTCTTTTTAATCAATAAAATTATTTTCGTAGTTAGTTAGTTGTTATGGTTTACTTTATCTTTCTGGGGATATAAATTGTCTAGCCGAAAAAACCGCAATATGCGAATTTTAAAGTGTATCTTACGGATAACGCAAGTTTTCCTTCTAGCTCGACCGGTTTGCTTGAAGATGTAATTTTTGCTTATAAGGGACAATTTATTTGATGGGTAAAAATCATCCTAAAGCACAAGTTCATACTGTTTGATCCCAAGCCAAATAAACGGTCAGGTAGCTGCGACCTTAGTGACGCAATTCACCCGAAATGGTTCGAAAAAGTGTGGTTTTGGCCCAAGCTATAATATTACTATGGTACATGGGAACATAAAACCAAACTAAATACATCCGTTTTTTTTCACTTAGCAGCCCACTGATTTTAACCACGTAAAAGTTGGTTGCATTGGTGCTTGCATTTGCTCAAAACCCCAGGTGAACGAAATACGCGTCTTTGTTGTGTTAGGGCTGGACCGAAAACCCTTACGAAATGAAGTGCCTTTTTTGACAAACACCTCATTTGCACAAACAATTCGTTGATAGTTTTATAAAACTTCGAAAGGGACCACTAAAGACCCAAAAGTATGAAGAAACTTGTTAATCGCGCAACCCTAAAGAACTGCCAGCATCCAGATTTACTGCGATTAACATGATAAACTGCACTAAGTATTTTTTTCACATATACATTTACAAATGAAACCAAAATAAGGATATTTGACAATTATTTTTTTTACATGTATGGTAAGCGAGAGCTTGTTGATTATGTCCTTGAACATAGGTTTGCCGTTGCGGCTCAGTGTATGACCCACACAGTCATTTTAAGTGCACTCGGGGCTGGGTGATTGGATAATTTCCAGCAAAGAGAAAACAACCTTGACTGGTCAACTTTGACCTTGCAGCCGCCATCAGTCAGTCATCACTATCCCTAATTTTTGTAACGGCTGGGGTTAGAACCACCAGACTATTGGTTATGAATCGGTCGACCTAACCATTGAACCACGATCTTACTATCCTTCCGGTTGCAATCGGGTGCTTATCAATGACGTTGCAGGGCCTATGCGTTCCAGTGTATCCTGCGATAAGCTCTCCGGAACAGTCAGCGGCCGTTAGTATAATAGGCAGAAAAGCAGCGGCTTATTGGCCGATATCAGTCAGCTATACCTAAATTCAGCTT